TATTCGTGGTGTACAAGCGCATTTGTCGTGTTCTGATATGCGTCGGCGATATCGAGGGATGTATATAGCAGGTATAGAAATCATATCTTATATTTTCTGAGTTTTGATATATATGTCTTACACATAAAATATATCTTTTTGTGCTTTTTGTATATACCTAGCTATAACTTTTAATTTTCCTTTGTTTTTTCAGAATTGTTGACTAAATCGTTGTCACTTGGTGAATTGACTTTTGAGTATCCCGAGGAAGCACCATTCTACATAAAAGATTTAAAAGAAATTGTTGATGGAAGAGCGGGAAGAAATGAAGCAAAAGTTGATCTTGAAAATCCAGACGACGAAGTTTGTAGGCAAGATTATGTCAGCACCGATGATATCAGCGTGGCAGAAACGGGCGATGTAATCGATAGTGACGATGAGGATTTCCCTGCTTATGAGATCCCGGAATCTGAAAGAAATCTGAAAGTTGTTCGTTTTTTCATTTTTTATTGTTATTTGAATTATTTATTAGTTTCTAATTTTTTATTTTATATTTAAAGTATCTTTTTTGATTGTGGCCTCCACTAATTATACTTTAGAGGGAAGATGGTGACGAAGGGCAAAAGCCTGTGCAATCTCCCCATTATATTAGGGACTGTCTTGAGGACTTGAATGAACAAGAAAGCTATGCTAAATTTGAGGCGGCTTTTGGGGTCTTGAATTCTCTAATACGGTAGGGTTTTATTTTTTCTCTTGAGAAAGATTACTTTTTCACTGTGAAATATCCAAGTGTTGCTAAAAATCTTCACTTATTGCGTTATGATTTGATTGTTTAGCAGTCGAGCTCTTGCTTACGACGAGATTGCGCCTGTTCTTGTTAAAAGACTTATATTTTTGACAGACCGTTATCGAACAGAGAATTTCCAGGTTAAGATGATTTTCTGACATTTTTTTCTGCATTTTCTAATCAAATAGATATTGCTTTTTATCTGACTCATGTTATTGTTTCGCTATATATAGATTCCATCTTATTGTCATTTTTTCATTTTAACGTGTCATGCGATTTTTGGCTCCGAATTCCTTTGTTTTAGGAGCGACGTCTAGAAATGGTTGTTTCTTGCCTTGTAATGAGTCCCCAGCTAGTGTCTGTTGCGGCTGATATCATGTTTTCTAGAAGGTTTGTTATCTTTTAAGTGATAACTTACTCTCCTTGCTAACATCATTAATAGTACTCCAGAATAATTAGAACTTTTAATTTTCACTTTGATTTCAAAAAATAAGGATTTTAGTTGTTCTATGTTCGGCCGTTATTTGATATTAGAGGCTATAACAAAAGCTGCTGCAGAAATTTCTAACAGTGGAGACAAGAGTCATTTTGATGTAACTTTGACTAGCAATGAAAAAAGTTCACCTGGTAACGTATTTTCTAATTTCCTCACCCAGTGATTTTCTTAAAACAGTACTTTTGGCCACCAGAGTTCAGCTTTTGCTACACTTGTCTTATATTTTGCTACAGTTCAGCTTTTTTTTCGCACAGATAAGCACTTTATTTCTTTGGTTTAATACCAACCTCTAATTTCCCAAAATAATCTGTACTATTTTTTTAAAATGATATTTGCGCTTTTTTTCGTCTTAGCCGCTGATCAAAAACAAATTTCTTCTCCGGTTTGTCTTATATAGAGGTTTCCAAAGCATTATTCGATTCAAGAATAATAGAAGTTATTCTGATTACTAAGGTAAAAAGGTATCACTAATTCCTTTCGTAAAGCCTACTATCTTCAGAGCCAAAGTTTTGGCAAAAAATAATCGAGGAGCGGGTTGCAGCGAAGACAAAATACAACGCGAAAAACTCGAAACCACAGAAGTTGAGGAAAAATAATTTTTGCGATTTAGCTTCCTCCTTTTTTTATCCGTTGGCAGCTATCGAACAGTATCGTGAACATCTGGATTTGCTGGTAATCAGTTTCAACGTATTTTTTTAGCAGTTTAAGCGCTGGTTAAAAAAATCGAGTTTACCTTTATTTTGCTCTATAACAAATTCGGTCTTATAATCTAAGGAGAACAACGTGAATATTCTATTACAGAACAGAGATTATAATTTGCTAGCAAAAATCCTTTTCGTGCTCGCCAATATTGTATGCTGTGCCGGAAATTGCGCTCCAAGTCTTCGAATGTCAAAGTAATGTCCCCACCTCTGCCACTTAATTATTCATTAGATACCTGTGTATATAAGAGGCGAAAATCAAATCTTTATTTCTAAGATCCTATTGTCTCTTTATCTCTGAAATTGCTGCTCATCTAGCATTTACTCTTTGTTTAGGACTTTGAACGACTATGCTTTTCCATTACAACGACACAAGGAAGCTGTGGTGCGTCAGGCAGTGCTGTACTGCTATTGCAGCATATGTACCACTTTGTCAGCCCCAGTTCTCGTTCAGTTTTTCTCGGGTGAGCTTCCTTCAGTGACATTTTTAACCCGCCTTAGAGTAGCTTGATAAAGCCCTGGGTAAGCTTCACTGGTCCTGACGAACCTCGGCTTGTAGCGTATTTACACTTGCCACTTCAGAACCCTATATTTTACTCCTCTAAATGTTTTTTCGCAAAGTTTAGGTGCTCAAACTGTTTAATAAATTTTCATAGTTGTACATTCGGAGTAGGTGCCTGAGAAGACACTAATTATCATGTACTTCCGTAAAAGCAGAGTAAATTCCGATGTACGCATTCGAAAAAAGTTCAAGGTACACAGGTCCTTTCTTTTTATTGGCCTCTTGTGCTTTAGCCTCAGAGCTTTACGGGACGAAAAATGCCATGTGTATATTAAAGATACAAAACTCAGTACTGAAAATCTCTGCGAAAATTAAAATAGGTATTTTGCGTTAATGCGGATAGCTTAATTGATCACTGTATCAAAAAAGTTAGTTTTTAGATAGGGATTCAGGAGTGTTTCGCAACTCTTTAGCTCGTCAATGCAGATACAATGAAGTTAACCTTCTTGCAACCTGATCGTTGACCGTTGTGGCTACGTGTGTCTAACCTATGAAGTTCTAGATGCACTAGTTGGTTGGTTCCACTACGCAAGGAACACTGGTGAGACAGATCCTTCAGTTTCATGTCGTGAAATGGCTAAATGCGCTTCCAGTATCGTAGCGGATAAAATCAGCGAGACTGAGTTTTCTCAACTATGAACGTACCTGCTCTGAAGGGGGAAGTTTTCAAGCAATGTCAGTTAATACTTCAAAGGTGTAATAGTTGAAGTTTTTTGCAAATCAAATATTTGAAAATGTTGAGAACAAAAAAGGAAAACCCATGATTTTTATTAACTAGTCAAGTGTCGCACTCTTCTACGCCCAAACCTCTTTATGCCCGATGATTTCTTTTTCATAGTGTTTCAGAAACCCCTCGACAGCAGACATGCGCCAAAACCTAAGAATGTACCATAATGGTAGTTTCACCAATATCTGACTTGGCTGCGAGGAAATACTGTTGGCAAACGCGGCGGATTTGTGGGCACGTGTCCAACAAGGTTCAAAAGATACTGCATCAACCGGAACCGGAACGCTGCCAAGTTTCAAGCAACACTTGATTCACGGAGTTAAATGTCACTAGTGGCTGTTTCCAGGCATTGTAGCTCCTGACTGACTGTATTTAGCACCGACGTCGAACAGCGACTCATAAACCGATGGAATGATGCTTTTTCTTTTTTTTTTCTCTGTAACCGCTCAATCCAATAGTTGTTAAGCTTTATTCCAGCTTAAACACGCAAATAAAAACAAAACAATTCATACAAAAAAATCATTCTGAAATATAAATACAATAACACTTCCCCCCAGCATTGCATCCGCACTCGCACACCAATTTGCCCATATTAATTTAACGCATCGATTCCCCCCAAGAGCACGAACGGAATACTTTTGAGATTCAAGGTTTTGCTGGCGCTTTGCAACATGAAGTGCAAAAATGATTAAGAACTCGACTAGTCAAAAAACTGTAAAAAATAATGCATAATAAGGGGGAAGAGAAACAACGGTACGCGAGTATGACGATTAGAATACAAACATTAGTTAAAGTAACCATGGATCACCAAAATTATTTGGAACTGGTATACTTCGTAACTGCTTTTGTACCTTCTGAGACAGCATGCTTCGCTAGCTCACCCGGCAGAATTAAACGAACTGCAGTTTGGATTTCACGAGAAGAGATCGTTGACCTTTTGTTGTACTGAGCCAGACGACTGGCTTCGGCAGCGATTCTTTCAAATACATCGTTGACGAACGAATTCATTATAGACATTGCCTTTGACGAAATTCCTGTATCAGGATGCACTTGCTTCAATACACGGTAGACATAAACTGAATACGATTCCTTCCTCCTGTTCCTTTTCTTCTTGTCATTGGAACGTGGCTTCTGTGACTTAACAGCCTTTTTCGCCCCTTTAGCAGATACTTTAGGAGGCATAACAGGAGAGTGGACCGAAGTAGCAAAGGAAAATCAAAACAGCTACGACACGAAACCAAAATTGAAGCAACGGACTGGCGTAATCGCGACAACGCGAGCGAGCTATTTATAGTCATCACAGAGCGCGTCAATGTGTAGCTCCGCCTATTTCTTTCATTATAATGGAGACGCATGCGTTGCGGAGTGACTGCTGCGTTCCTTGTGTTGCAGTATTTGGTCATTAGGATCGAAGGAACAGCTTAGATGTTGGTGGGGTGTTTCACATTAGGGTTTTTCCATTAAGCTTTGGGAATGTTGGTTTTTTGCGGTAGGGTGGTGAGAGCTTTGAGACCTCTCGTTCAGTTGTTTTCCAAAAATTCTTTTGTCTGTCTGTGAACAGTATTTTTTAATGCAGTTGAGTTGTTCAGCTGATCAGCAGCCCATGCAAGAGTTTCAACCATAAAGAAGGTGTCAAGTGAAGCGTTTTTCTTAGGAAAAGGAGCAATTAAAATTGGTTTGCATAAATTAATTGAATCGATCATCTCTTGATCATGGGACAACGTTTTGAAGCTTTTTTTTGTTTATGTGGCGGAGGGAGGGCAGAGAGGCTGTTGTCATATGGGCTGTTGGACGACTTCTTGGCAAACTAAGTAGCGTGGAAAGCAAAAGCAACCTTTTCAATAAAATTATTTGACATTTATAAGTCCTCTAATGATATTTTGATTTTTACAAGGAATAAATGAAACGGTCTTCATCGAGTGAGGGTGAACATTCAGATGGTTTAAATAAATTTTTTCTGAATATGATTTCGTTTCGGTGAGATCTCACCAGTTTGATTGCGTTTATTTATTGAGAGACTATCTGAAACGCCATAAAAATGGGAAAAAAATTTTTACGGCTTCAATCATTCTTGGAAGTCTCAGAGTTTTTCGCACAACTTTTTATAGTTCAAAAGAAAAATCGAAAAAGATTTGGAAGCAGTGGTGTTAACGGCAAAATTTTTTGGCATCAGTTAGCAGCTTGTACTTTGTTAGGAAGGAACGAGATGGTTTGTGTGCAGTTTTTTATGGCATCAAATACTTGAGAAAGCTTTTAGTGTCGGTTGTATCGATCAGAACTGTTTTCAGCACTGTATATTTCCCTGCTCTGTCCATTGCTATTTGTATTGTGAAAAAACTAAGAAGTAGTGTTTAATTTTAGATGCATATACAAATATCCCAAAAAAAAATAAAGTGAACGTCACGCATGTTGGGTAAATGACTTTATGAAATGCTACAAAAACTTAGGTTGAAGTCTGGACGGGTATTAGGTTTTATAGTGTTTTGGTGTCCACGGTTTAATGGATATTGAATTGCCCAGAGTTCAATGTTAAGCTTTATTTTTCAACTTTTTTGCGCTAAACAATTTTGACTTTTTAAAATTAATAAAATGATTATTACATACTGGCGAAAATGCATAGCAGTTAATACCAAGTATAGATACCAAACAATATTCATCGGTATGAGCGATATAGCTAAAAAATCCGGCTCCACAAACAACATTATAATATTTACCAAATGCTTTTTCGGCGGCTTCTTGAATTGCACGTTTAGAAGATTCCGAATCATTTTCAACTATATTCTGCAATGCGGTATATCTTAGCTTTTCCCGTGAAAAAAAATTTTTTTTTCTATTTTAATGTTTTGTGACCTTTTATTTCTTCAATTTAAAAAAAGAGAGACAAAATTATTTGCGTAGATTTCGGTAGTAATTATTGTTTTTGGTTACTTACATTCACCATAATTGTACGAAGACCATTGCTGTTACAACGTTCATTTGATTTAAAGTGTTGAATTGAATTTCTTTCCGTTTCATCGGTAAAATATGCCTGTCAAGGTTTTGGTTTTCAAACTTATGTTTTGAAGTAATTTTTGCTAGATGTTTATACTGCTAGTAATGAAGGGCATTACCTTTGTATTTGTATCGCCGTCATAATCGTCGTATAGTTCCATCTGCTGTTGTTGTTCATCAATGTCTGGTATCGATGATTTCATATCCGATTGGAACATTGAATTAAATCGTTTCTTTGTTGGGTTACTGGGCAGCCCGTTATTATATTCACTTAGAAGCAAAGGTTGCTGAGGATTGTTGTTCGATATGACTGAATCAGGTTTATTTGTTGAATATCTGTTGTCGGTTGGATACGATCGATAGCTTGCCGGAGCTGCTGTATCAATTTGTGAGATATACGGATATATCTCAAAATTCTTGGGGTTTGCAGGTGTTAAGTGTGACGACAAGTCCTCTGAATGTGTTTGATACTTGATAGCTGGTGTGTGCTCCTGGATGCTTCCTACTTGAAGGTATTGAACAGACTGAGGCGGATTTGTCTCCTGGTACGATTGAAATCTGAAGGTTGAAGGCGTTGTTCTTGGCACCTGGATTCTGAATAGTATTTTGGTATTATACGTTTGAAAAAGAATTGGTGGCTGACAGTTCCATTTTGCGCTACAATTGTTTGGATAATGGAGACTTTGAAAAAAAAAGGTTTCTTGGTAGCTCGTTTTTGTAGCCAACTTATACAAGGAACTTTGTTGGAGGTCTGTCAGTACCTCAATCCAATTTTACAATTCAAACATTGTAAACTAACATGTAGGGCAAAGGAGTTGTGGTTGCTGAAGTTCTGTATGCGTACATAGCATTATCAAGGTGGAATGGCAACTGACCGTTAACTTTTTCAGAGCTTCTTGGTACCTAAATTTGTGTTTTTGAACTAAGCAAGCAAGTGGTTCTTGTTTTTAATTTTTCCGACATTTTTTAGTGCCACATTTTTCAAAAGAGCTTCAAGTTTCCTCCTACACTTGTCTGCTGAATGTGGTATGTTTATATCTGCCGTTTGTTTATCTATCAAACCACGGAAGATGTTGAGCTTTCAAAAAAATAAAAAAAAAAAAAAGAAGAAACAAGAAGTATCTAGGAGACGAACGTTTGGTGAAGTGATTTCAGTGCTTTTTGGTGATAAAAAGTTGCTCCAGTCGTCGTCGGTTGTCAACCTTTCTGAGACCTTGAACTTTACAAGTGAAAAGATTGAGTCAAATTTTGGTTCAAAGAATTTCCAATCTCGATGAGGTTTAATGCTGTTTACCGTTGACATATAACGGAATGTTAGGTGTGTGTTTAGCATATCTTTCAGTAAGCTGTTACAAACTTCTCGGTTACATCAAAATAAACAACTGCTTACAAAATTTTGTTTGTTTACCTTTGATAGCCAGCTTGGTTAAACTTTATTTCTCAAAGTTGCAGTTTCATTATTCTTTTTTCTTTTTTTTTCTTTTTCTTGGTAGGGTACAACTTTTGGGAGCTTACTTTGTCAAAAATAACAAAATTTTTTTGGTCGTTCGAGGTGATCTCGTTGGGCGTGTTTCGCCCCAAATTTGTTTCGTAGGGGTTTTTTTGCATTTTTGATCGATTTTTTGCTTCTCGAAAAACCTTAAAATAACCGCATCGTTAATTTAGTTCTTAGCTACGATTTCAAAATGTATACGAAATTTTTTTCGTTAGTCGTGTGATTTTAATTCAAGAATTTTTTTGGGCGATATAACTGTTTAGCGAAGAAATAAAAGTGCTACAGCTGCATAAAACCGAAGAAAAAATTTTATGAATTGTCCGATGATTATACGCAGACGCTGTGAATAGCTGCTGCTCGTAAAAACTTCTTTATTTAAGAATTACCTTAAAGAATTTTTTTCGCCAATCTCCAGCTGGTTTGTCGCTGCCTTTGTTATCGCTGCTTGCTTGTTGAATTTTGATACTTATGGGTAACAGAGTTTTCGATTTTTCTGGGGTCGCTGCAGTCTCTTGGCCAGTCAGGTATCGAAGTTCGGTGTCCGTTGGCTTTAGATCAGCAATCATATTCGTAAGTAGGTCAGATGCTTGTAAATGGTTGTCTTCAGGACTGGACGCTGTTTCTGCCATATTTTTGGTTGTGTCACCGACGAGTGCGTTTTCTATACTCTCCAACTGTTCGTTTTGGTTGCCGGTTAATGATGAATATTCATTAATTTTGTGTAGTATTGACTCTTTAATATCATTTGTGTCAGTGTTTGGCGAACCGACTTCACGTATTACAGCTTTATGGACCACTTCGGATGTGTTGTATGATAAAGCCGGTGGTTCAAATAATATTAGCAGTAGGAACAACATTTTTGCTAAGGTATCGACGATCCTAAATGGTTCACATGATGTGTTCACAGATAGTTAGTGTCTTGAAATTCGATTAACATGCAACAGAACATGAAACAATTTAAATGTACCTGCTGATATTAAAAGCTCAACCAAAAAGTTTTCATGAAAAAGTTTTGTTTACATCAAACAAGTAATTTAAATTTTTGTCGTTTTACTATCGATATGCTGAATTACTTGTCATGGTTGCTCTTGTTGAGCCATCAATTCTTTCTTTTTCGCTCTTCTGGACTTAACGTATTATACCAGTTCAACAGTTGGTCTGCAAATATATTGACAACTGTTGCTGGTCGGTAAAAAAGTGGCCAAAAGCTGAAACAGCAATTTGAAGAATTTTGTAACTCCATTACAGTTGATTACGTATTTTTGTTTCTGCTACAAAACAGTTTCAAAATCTTTGCTGAAAACTAAAGTTTAAAACCTAGGTCATAGGCAGGTTACGGTACTGATGTGGTATTCAAAAATCAGCCTTACTATGGTTGTTCAAGGTCAGCTGGATTTAAGCACAGTACTGAAGGAGTATTTAAAATTAAAGCCAAAAAAAACATCTATTAGATTAACAAAAGTACCGTTTAAAACTTGTATTCAGATGTGGAATAAAAGTAAACATATTTTAGTGTTTAAAGATACTTAGGTAACTCATCGAACTGCATTTCATAGACAGCGTGATGCAAAAGAAGAAGTAGGGTTTTTTAGACGAGTATATAAATGTTTAGATCCAAAAGAAAACCTACTAGATCAAATTCGGCGGTTTTTAACTATGTTGTATCTGGCGGTTTTATGAACAGAACTAATTGCAGTAATTAACAGCTCAATAAACCGTCTTAAGGAAAAACAGAAGCAGTTTAATTTTTATAGTATGAAGCTGATAACAAATTCATCGCAAAAAAAAAAAGATTTTGGTTATACTTTCCAAAAAAAACTGATAGTTTTATCACAAAAACTTTTTATATCGCTTTTTACAAAACAATTTTTTACTTTTTGTTTATTCCAACTGTTTAGTTTATTCTAAAAATATCAACATTTTGTATCACGTAAACAAACACGTTGATTTCAACAACTTATGCTGTAACGATCAAATTTAATCTTTCTAAGGACTAAAACTTAAATGACTGCTCAATATTATAGGCAATAATACAGCAGTTTGTCAGTTGTATTTCCACACGAATATATCACCACTAATACTAGAAGTATTGCTGATAACAATTGGAAAACGATAACAACTAGCCAACATTTTATACAGCTTAGGATTTTTTTCATTGTTTTAGAACAGTATAAAGGAAGAAGCAAAGATGGAATTATAATAAGGAACGATAAATTATATATATTAAAGATGAAAGTGAGCAGCACCGTTTTGTTACGCAGCAGTATCGTCCATAAAATATCCAGACTAAATTATCTGAGCATTAAGTGTCTTCTTGCTAGACTATAAATGACAATAAATTTTTTGTGGTAAACCGTATGTTTGTATTTCGTGGAGGAGATGAAATTTAGCTCAAGTATTTTGTTGAGGAAAATGACAACAACGGAAAAAAAAACAAAAAAATTTTTGTTTTTTTGTATAATCGAAATTTTCACGATATTTTCTAAAATGTTCTTTGTGTGTCTGTGTATGTATGTGCTTTTTTTTTTTTTTTTTTTTTTTT